ATAATAAAAAAAAGAAAAAAATAAGAAAGTAAAAAAATAATATTTAAGATTCAAGCATAAAAAGTGAAAATGGGAAGAAAAAAAATAAAAATAAAAAATGAGAGAGAAATCTAATAAATAAAAACTATATAAAAAGGTAATTATTATAATTATAAATATTATTATTATTATTATTATTTATAAAAAATAGAATAATTATATATAAAAAAATTAAAATTTGGAGCGTGTCATGGCCACCCCATGTCTCCTCGCCCTCCACCTCTTAACTATTTTCTTGAAATCAAATTTAGACATCAGTCTAATGGATTGATGTATGTTACTTAGTTCATGTATATGTATGATATTCTTCCTAGAACAAATATGCTTAAGTAAAACAAATTTCATCTCCTATAATTGATAACAATAAACTTATCATAAATTACTCTTCATAACTTACATAACACACATTCTACAAGTCAATTGTTGGTTCTCTTCAATATATTGTTTCTACATGTCCATTATTTTGTTTTGCAATCAACAAAGTGTGTAAATTCATGATTGCACCTCTTGAAGATCATTGGATAATGTAAAACATATTTTCATTACATCTTTTTATAGTTTTCATCTACCCCATTTTCCTTAACAACATTTTATTACGTTGATTAAGCTCTCAGCCAAATTATAGATTTTCCATATAAAAAGGATGTATATTTCTTGAACCAAATCTTACTTCTTGGTGGTCTAAAAAGCATATTGCTCTAAGTATAATATAAGTCTTTCCTATCCAAAAAGTATATTAAAGTCTTTTGTTAGCCACTATTGAATTTTTTAAGTATAATCTTTACTAAAAGAACTTAGAGTCACTCCTATCAAACCATATATAAAATGTGACAACCTCAAAATAACATTTCTAGCTCATAATTTACACTTTCATGCTCATAAGAAATATATTGAGCTTGATATATTTTTTGCATGAGAAAATGATTATTCTCAACAACTTGAAGTACTTCATGATCCAATTTTCGATCAAAATGTTGATATTTTAAACAATGTTCATACTCCTTCTCGTTTTTGTTTTCTTAGTTCAAAATCTCAAGTTAGGTGAAAACTCTCATTCTAACATTGCAGGTGTAGTAGCGTATAGCAGTCACTTTTTATTTTGATTTCATTTATTTAAATAAAAGGAAATTTCTTATTTAGGTTTAGTGACACTCATTTATTGCAATGTGTCTAGTCTTAACTTAGTAAAATAGGCAAACTTACAATCTTTTAATCATCATTTTAATTTCAATAGATTCGTGTTTTCTATTTAGATAATTCATATAGAGTTATGTTAATTTTTGTTAACACATTTAACAATAAACACATTGTTAAAATGGAAAATACAATGATAACTCATTCAAAATAAATATTTTTATTCAATATCATAAAAATAGGATGAAAACACACTTATATAAATTATCAAACACATTCATACATTATCAAACTTCATGTCAATACTTCTTCTCTTATATAGATTTATGTACAAACAAATATACAATACTTTTCTATTTCATTTATGCATACATAGTTGCATAGTGATTTATAATGTTGACACTAACCAAAAACACAATCTTGTGTTGTAAAAGTAATTATAGGTCTTTAGTTCTCGATTTTCATTAATATTGATCATTGTTATGTTGTATTGAAAAAACAAAAACAATAGTATATGAAACACCAATATACTCATTAATATTTTTTATTTCTACAAGTGGAATAACAAACAATTGGTTATTTTAATAAAATTAAAATTTGTATATAGTAAATAAATTAAAAAATGTCAACAAAACTAAATAAGAAATAATCATTATCCTCAAGGTTTGTCTTTGAAGTTGATTCTTCTCCATGACTATCACAATTGAAAATTAAAGATAAGAAAATATTTCTATTTAGTTGTATTCTTAACATATTGTTCTTCCCTATGTTTTCTTCTTGTAAAGAAAAATTTATAATAGGAAAACTTTTCCAAAATACAAAATAACCATATTTATTATTTACTATGTCATATTAACCACTCATGTTAACACACATTACCATATAAACCCTAAACTAAATAACATTACCATTATAATTAACACAATTAACCAACTAACAATGGAATTTAACCATCCACAACATCAAATTGGTCAATTCATATAACATTTGTAACCAATTAATAAACATAATTATTTTAATCATTCATTAAACCTAAATAATTAATGAATATAACATAATTAATCAACTAAATAATTGTAACCATCTTAATCATCCATCAATCAAAAATCAATCAAATATCATAATTATCCAACTAACATACCTAATTGTAATACGCATCCCTTGAGCCAAATTAGCAATCTCAAATTAGAACACCTAACAAAAGCATTACAACGAGATCAAACATTGTCATCAAACAAGTTGATCTTCAGATACACTAAACAAACTATCTTATTATTAGACAAGCTACTAAGTTATGTCATCAGACACGCTCGCTAGAAGAGCACATTGGATAAATAATCATATACATTACTATTGAATGAGCCCCTTCGATAAACTCAACAAGCAACCTACCATTGGACAATTAATTATAGATGAGAACATTAAACAAACTACCCAAAATAAGTTGATTTTGTCATCAAATGAGTTGCCAGGAATCACACAAGCTACTTAGAGTTACATGCTCTTAGTGTCAACCAATATTTCCAATCGCTACTAGAATAAAAAAAGTTCTCTCTTATTAATCCAATATGAGTTGCTTCTGCAAGTCAACATGTGATTTGATGCTCTTATTTCATAGAGTCTAACTTTCATGCTTTTAAATTTGGTGTTGCTTACATTAAAAGATTTTGCGCACTCTTTAAGATTTCTCAAATTATAAGTAAACAAATTTCTTTTCTCATTTGGAGATATGTTGTCTAGTGGATTAATTGAGGATAACAAATATATGAAATTTTAAAAAAAAATTGTAATTGGTTAATTAATAATAAGTCATTCTATTAAGACTTATTTTCCTATAATTATTTTGGCATGAAAAAACTTACAATCAATAATGAAATAATTCATTTCAAAAGTAAAACACTATTACTCTATGCAAAATCAGATTTCATATTTTCTCAAGGAGGATTTTTCAAAATGTGTTTTCCCAAGTTTATCCAAAGGAAGAAAATCTTATAAGTGAGAAAGGTTTGGTTACAATAATAAGTCTTTCTATAATTCTACTATATGATGTTCTACATAATTTTTTATTAAACGTTTATGTTTTGTCTTTCAGTTAATTGGTTTGACTAAGTTGTATTCATGATTAGGGTGGTCAAAATTGTTATTATTGATTGTGTAATTAAGGTTGGTCACATGATAGTGTTCAACGCAAAGGCTATGTGAAATTGTAGAATTCAAGATTAGTATATGGTCTAGTTGATATGATAAGGTTAGGTTCATGATTGAGCTAGTCAATACAATGATAAATAGTGTAATAAAATTTTATGTAAGACTTAAATGATATTAAAATATTACTACATGTTTTAAGGTAGGGTTCTTATTACATAACTAATAGTTAAATAGTGAAACAATATAAATCTTCCAAGTATTATTATTCTTTCTTATTTGCATCTTATATTTTTTATTATAGTTTTTTATCATATATCTAACTTAATTATCCATTAAGAATATGGTTTATTATTATTCAAGAAAATGTTCATCATTTATTTTTTTTTAATAATTCTTTAAAAATTTTAAAAATCCAATAAATAATTAATTAATATCATATAATAATAAGAAAAAATCGATTTTAAAAAATCATAAACAAAATAAAATTACAAGGACTAAAATAAAAAAAATACTCAATGAAAGTAAAAGTATATATATGAATCATGAAATAATAATAATATAAAAAATAAATTCAATTTTAAAAGAAAAAAATCAGAAAATATTATTTATAGTAACTAAAATTTTAAAATATAGTAATTAAAACTTAGTTAAATGAAATTAAATGCTTGGTGAGTACAAAATTCATAAATCTTCAGAAATTATAGACAAAAGTATAAACTTAAAGCAATTTCAAAAGTTTAAAAATTAGTTGTTGATTTTGAATATAATAATAATAATAATAATAATAATAATAAATTTTAAATAATTATCTTAACTACATATGAATAATATCATTCGTGATTTTCTCACTGTTATTAACAACTCCTGAGACCGAACACATGAAAGTTAAAATTAAAATACATTTATTCCGCTGTACTTTAAATGTTGATTTCTTCAACACATTTGAAGATAGAAATGAAATTAACCTAGTTCAGAATGCACATTGCCTGCCATACAGAATGAGTGTGTTCTCGCTTTCCGTGTTCACTCGGTGCGAGCTTACAACTTAGCACTTAGCCCCATATACATTAGATATCTAGATCTCCAGCATTGACTCTATGTAACCAACTTTCTCTTGAATTTCTCCTGTTTTTTCGTTTCAATTTCGGTTTTGGTTTGCGGCATGGGAGAAAGTGTGGTCACTCCGAGCAGGAAGCGGAGATTCCAGAGAGAATAACCAATTAGCCAGCATGTTTCTGCTTTGTGCCTTTTCATAGTCGACCAGTTTTGGGTTTTTTTAAAGTTAATCGGGCATAAATAAATTATTCGATCCCTTCTGCAATTACTGAGTAGTCTACATGCTTCATCACTCACCCGTTACTCGGCGAAAGGTAATTACAAACCCACCTTTGTCAATGTTGCCTTATTGCATCAACTGGGAACTGTACCTCGATTCTGTTCTTCAATTTCAGAAATTTATTTCACATTTTTTATTTTTTTTAATTAGGTTCAACCGTGGAGATCCTCTTCTAGTGAGGAAAAGATGGAGACTGAATAAAGTTGTGACCTTTACGGGGAAATTGAGCGTTTGAGAGAACCTGTGACAGTTCCAGTCAGCAGTCAGCAATTTGATTCTTTTATCTTTAATTTGACCCTTTTTGTTGAGGATTGAAGAGGGGAAGTGAGTGAAGGTTGGGGAAATGGACAGAAAGGAGCCACAAGTTGAGGTTACTTGGGTTCCCGCCACCCCTATTAAGCCGGTTCCTCTGAAACCAATGCCGATCTACACCCCTGGGGAGATGAACCAAATGGGTTATCATGCAAGTGGAGCAGTTGCATGTGTTGAATTTTCAATTGGCCAAGAGAAATTGTGTAGGTCGGATGATGGGTCATACTTCGCCAGTGAGGGTGGCAAAACTTGTGAACATGCAGCTTCGGACGCTGCTTCCAGCTTCAGCAAACTCGGATTTTGTGAACATTTGTTCGCAGTTGAAGCTGAATCGAGAAACTATAGTGTGATAGTTGGGAATAATGATGGACTAAACAATCCATTTTTCCCTTCATTCATCCTTGACAATGTCCAAGACCCGCAGGGTGAGTTTTATTTTTTTATCCTTGCTTCTCTTCGTGTGACAATTTTATAAGATTTTCCCCTGCACATCTCACTAGAACTCGGTGAGCACCAACAATGATCTTAGCAAGATAAATTAAGATTCTACACAGAACACTGATGATGACGTAGAAGCAATAAAAAAATTTGAGAAAGCAACAGCTAAAGTGAGGGGGATATCAGAATGAGATATTAGGCATATTATATTTAAATTCCTTTATCATCCATTTTGTTTGAAATGAGTAGAATCTGAATGGGAAATTGATTTTTAATTTCTGTGCTTGCATTCAAAGAACTAGTTGGTGAGAAATAATTTTTTTTGCATGTTTGCATGCACTTTTCTCCTTAAAGCTTATCAAACTTGACACTATGTTGCTCTGTAACATTCATCAAACCTGCACCGCAATCACAATATCCACCATTTTCTTATAAGTTTCTGCCTTTAATTTCCTTTTAATACTTGGTGATCATATTGCTCATACACTTGTTTGCATACTCTCTTTTGAGACAGAACCATACATTGCTTGCTGTAGCAACAGAACACAGGATGCCCCATTTACACTTGACAATGCCAACAAAGAAGAAAACAAACAAATAGCATCGATGCAACTCAATATGGAAGAAAAAGATCCAGGAGGGGAAGAGAGAAATAGCCCTGCCAGTATGCTTGACAGTAATGTTCTGCCAAACAGCAAAGAACTCTGTGACCCTGTCATAGAGTTTGCTGCTATTTCTTCACCATTAAAGGAGAATAACAACCAAGACAAGGGAAGCAATCTTGATACTGATCATAATAAAACACCACAACCAAAACAAAGGAGAAGAAAGCACCGTCCCAAGGTCATCAAAGAAGGCAAACCCAAAAGAACTCGGAAGCCTGTCACCCCAAAGCCTGATCAATCAAAAGAAAACCCAACTGTCAAGAGGAAGTATGTGAGAAAAAATGCATTGACCAAAATGGCTACACCGACAGAAGTGATTGGGGAACTGACTAAAGAAATGCCTGAATCTGCCAAAATGTCTTGTAGAAGGTCCTTAAATTTTGACATAGGAGCAAGATATGAAAGTTCAGCTGGAAAAAAAAACACAACTGATCTAAACACTTCCATTATGCAACCATCGAACAGTTACATGTCATTAGCAGAAGATACACAAGCCCCAAATACATCTTCAGGAAGAAAAAGCTCTGTGACAGAGCCAGAGGAAAACTCAGCTGTGAAGAAGAATATGAGAAGGAAAGTGAATAGTAGCTCTCCAACAGAAGTGACTGGAGATATGACTAGAGAAAATGTGCCTCAATCAGCCCAAATGTCATATACAGGGCCTGTAAAATTTTATGTAAGAGCAAGAGATCAAAGTCATGCAATCCAAGAGAACCCAATTATCATCCCCGGCGATGAAATTGGTGTTGTCATGCATGATATTAATGTAGGCTTTGCCTATGATCTTAACACTGCCATGAAGCACGCATCAAACAGTTACATGTCACTACCAGAAGAAACACAAGCCGCAAATACATCTTCAAGAAAGAAAAGATCTGGGACAAAGCCAGCGGAAAACCCAACTGCCAAGCGGAAGTATGTGAGAAAGAAAGGAGTGAAGACTTATGCTCCTCCAATGGAAGTACCTGGAGAATTCACTAAAGAAGAGATGTCTGCATCTGCCCAAACATCATGCACAGGGTCCATAAATTTTGATGAAAGACCAAGAGAAAAAAGTTATACAATAGAAGAGAATCTAAGTGGCCAACCGGGTAGTGAAATTGGTGCAGTCATGCAGGAAATGAATGTAAGAACTGCCTATGAATTAAACACTTCCATAAATCAGAAAATAAATGAAGACATGACATTACCAAAGGATGCACAAGCCCTAAGTCCATCTTCAAAAATCAATCTCCGTGGGACAAAGGCAAAAGAAAACCTGACTGGCAAGAGGAAGAATGTGAGGAAAAAAGGATTGAATCTGTCTCCTATTCCTTCAACAGAAATGACAGGATTGACTGAAGCAGTGATACTTGAATCTAACAATATGTCATGGAGAAGGTCCTTAAATTCTGACATGGGAACTAGAGATGGAAGGTCTGTAGGGAGAGAAAATTTAGATTTGCACATTGGAAATAAAAATATGGTGTTAGAGGAAACAAAAGTATGTCTTGCCTATAGTAAAGACACGTGGATGCCATTACCTGAGGGAACACAATACCCAAGTACGTCCATTTCAAAATACACCCCCCTTGGAGCAAAGCTGGATGCCAACTCTGTAGAGAACAAAAACAAAGAAGGCCAGGCAACTACTCAGGATGGTAACATCAGTACTAATCAAAGTTCAGCAATACGGTCACATATGGTTGGTTCAAAGAGAAAATATACTGCTAGCTTCAACCATGCAGATGACAGCAACATGAATCTGATTGGATCACACTATAATGGATTGTCATCATACCAGGCTAGCTTTTGCCTTCAGTTTCCAAACATACAGAAGAAAAGGAGAACTGAAAAGGGGAAAACTTCTGACACTTACATTACATCCGTGACTGCAACAAAAGAAGTCCAACAGACATACCCTCAGGAAGATGCTCTAGGACATCGGCATGCATCAAGCTCCAGCAGCTGGATTTATGGAACTGGATATAATACAACTGGAGTCCCAGTCACAAGTGGGTTGACAGAAAATTTTATTGATGGTACTCAAACATTCAACGAGTTTGTGTCGTCTTTGAAAAGGCTGGCAGAAAGATCTCAAACCTCTACTTGTGGTGCTGGTTCTCCAACCAAAATTAGAAGCTGTGATACTGAACCAAGTTATACTACAAAACACGTACGGATCTCTGGCAGAGAAACATTTGAGGATGCTAAAGGACAACAAACATGCATTGGTGCTTTAATCGCACAGACACCTACATCACTTACAAAAAAGAAGCGGAGTAGAAAGAAAAGTGCCCTTTCCAGTTCAGCACATTCCCGCACAAATGGTATGCTACAGCACCGTAATTTTACAGTGGGAAATTACCCTATGCCAGTGGGGAAGTCATCAGGTTTGAACTGAATCATTATTCTTGAGTTAATAACATTATATACATCTGAAAGGACAAATAATTCCACCATGAAATTTTTGCATTGCAGATGTTGCTTCTAAAGTACTCTGGAAAAACATGAACTACATTGACTCGTTAGCATTGCAGTTTTGGCACCTAAACATAAACACAGAAGCAAGAGACCTTGCATTGCATGAGCAGAATGCACTTGTTCTGTATAAACAGCAAAATCAAAAGCAAAACAGCCTTGTCCGCAGAGATGGGGCCATTATTCCCTTTCAAATCAAGAAACAGCATCTTCGACCGAAGGTTGACCTTGACGAGGAGACTGATAGAGTGTGGAAGCTTTTGTTGCTAGATATAAATAGTCATGGGATTGATGGAACAGATGAAGATAAGACCAAGTGGTGGGAAGAAGAGCGCAATGTGTTCAGAGGACGAGCAGACTCATTTATTGCCCGGATGCATCTTGTACAAGGTATCATATTTGACATTATTCACCTTTGACACACCTCTAACACGGCAACTTACATGTGATCAATGAAGTGGAAGAAATGAGAAAAAAAAAAAAAAAAGGATGCAGACAAAACTACATTTTATAAGAGTAGTAAATATTACCTGTCTACCTACTTCCCATAAACTGGAACCAAAATATTGATGGTAATAAACCCCACCCTCCAACAACTATAACAAGAATAGTCCTCCTAGACCACCACAACCATGAATTATGAAATGGTTTGATTTGAACTACCTATGTCACTGATAATATCACAAGAACAATGCATGACACATGAGCCACTCTGTTTAAAAAATTTAAGTACCTCCTTTTCGGTGGTCATCTATTGGGGGATGGTCACGTATTGGGAGTTTCTGGAAATTGACTAAAGGCAAGAAACTTGTAAGAGTAACACATTATAATATCATTGTGTATCTCATTTATCCATATACTTCAGCATCTCTTACATAACAAATCATCAAAGACAACAACTTCTGTTTCATTATAGTACAATGTAAAATAAGTAGCTAAATAGTTTTTCAGGTGTAGTAGACATAAATCTCAATGACTTTATCTAATTTGACTAAGATATATGTACCACTTACTGAAATAGTGTTAAGAAACCACGCACACAGGATGTTGTTACAGCTTTTGAAGAGAATAAAATAATTGCAATTTTATCTTAAAAGAAAGATTGTGTAGAAAAATCTCTATACATTGAACAATATAAAGCTTCATATAATAAGAGTTTCTTCAATTGCATCCATTGGCATTGGAAATGAGTTCATTTATCAATCATAAATTATAATCAACAGGAGACAGACGATTTTCTCGATGGAAAGGATCAGTTGTGGATTCAGTGGTTGGAGTTTTCCTCACCCAAAATGTCTCTGACCATCTTTCCAGGTATAAACCCTACAAGCTTAATTTTGGCAAATTTATTATTTGTATGGCATGCCACAGCAACATTTTCTATTCTCTGTTGACAGCTCTGCATTCATGTCCCTTGCTGCTCGATTTCCCAAAAATTCAGGCATGTGCAAAGCACACCATGTGGAAGACAATAGGCTGGTAGTAGAAGAACAGCAAGTACACGTAGTGCAACCAGCAGAGGACACTGAATGGAAAGTAAAATTATTGAACCAATCTGTTTATGACCAGAGTTCTCCAACAATAGATATAGTTGAGCATTCTGGAGAAAAAGAAGCCATCAACAGCAATGATTCCTGTGGAGCTACCAGCATTGTAATTAGCTTGCCAGATGAATCAATCTCCAGATTGTCAGAATCATCTCAACAAAATATTAAGGAACACTGTATCCCAATGAGGAGTGGACTACATTCTGCCACAATTGAGGAAGGAGAAGAAAAATCATGTTATAGTGGTGATAGGAAAGAGTTAACTGACATAGTTTCATCGCAAGGCTCTGTCATTTCATCTCAAATATCTGGAGATTTTTTAAACGACCAAAATCTGGAGAAAATAGGATCATGCTCAGACAGCAACTCAGAAGTGGAAGTTCTGTCCAGCACAGCAAAGTATAACCATTTTGATAGTGGCACTTCCTTCAGTAAACTCCTCGAAATGGTTAGTTCAACGAAGTTTTATGAAGATAACAATCAAAAAAGCAAATCAAATGAGAACTTAAGAGATACATATGATCAAGCTTTATGCAGACAGCATGACAACTCCATAGAAAGCTCGCAAAAATCAAGCCTTACTCAAGGCTCTTCAGAAGCACCTATCAACCTATCCCCTGACTGCATTGGTCCTTGCAAAACCAAAGCCTCAGCTAGTGACTTTTTAAAGAAAAAGGATGAAAATGGCATGAACAGATCTAGTTTTCAAACAACAGAACCTGCAGGCCAAGTTGCAATTACTCTTTCTCAAACTATTGTGTCTCAAGTCCATCCTCAGGAACAAAGCAATCACCAGCAGCAAAGCTTTTTCAATTTCAACATCTCTGAAGAAAGGGGATCAGATCTCGGTGGGCACAAAAATGCCTCAAGGAATGCAACCAATGGGATAAGTTCTGGCCCAACAAAAGTAAAGAGCAAGGAACAACGAAAAGATAAAAAGGATGATTATAACTGGGATAGTTTAAGAGTAGATGCACAAGCTAAAGCTGGAAAAAGAGAAAAGACAGAAAACACAATGGATTCTTTGGATTGGGATGCTGTGAGATGTGTAGATGTCAATGAAATTGCCAAGACCATCAAAGAACGGGGCATGAACAACAGGCTTGCAGAACGTATTCAGGTACCAACTAATTCTATGAAATACTACTTATAATTTTCTTGAGACAGACAGCCTATGAATGCAGCTTATATTACATGATACACTTTGCAGAGTTTCCTGAATCGACTGGTTGAAGAACATGGAAGCATTGACCTTGAATGGCTAAGAGATGTTCCACCAGACAAAGCAAAGTAAGTCCAGTTGTTAATTAAACTAATTAGTGAAGTATTATTTCTCGTACAAATCTTAACTCTGATTGAAGATACCATGAACTCTCAATTCACTAGTAAAATACTCACACAAGTGATGATATACCTTTTTCTAGTAAGTCAATATATCCATAATAAAATTGACTTCATACATACAGAGAATACTTGCTCAGCGTAAAAGGATTGGGATTGAAAAGTGTGGAATGTGTGCGGCTTTTAACACTGCACCATCTTGCCTTCCCGGTAAGTTGAAAGAAGTATTATGCATTTATAGGAATATGGAATAGATCTGATAAATAATTCACATATAACAGGTAGACACAAATGTTGGACGAATAGCTGTGCGACTGGGGTGGGTTCCTCTGCAGCCACTGCCTGAATCACTGCAGTTGCATCTCCTAGAATTGTGAGTACTCCATAGATTATATGAGGGGTTGTGTTGAAAGAAAACTAATACCATTGCCTTTTGTAGGTACCCAGTGTTGGAATCAATTCAAAAATATCTCTGGCCTCGACTGTGCAAGCTAGATCAGAAAACACTGTAAAGATTTTATTTTCATATTAGCAAAATAACATTAAAAAATATATTCTTTGTTTTTGCAATTTCTACAAGATTTAGATAATGATTATTGGCTTTTGCATTTTTTTTATGTTATTTTGCAATATATTGCAGATATGAACTACATTACCAGATGATTACATTTGGAAAGGTATGTTGCATTTTCTCAATAGACTGACCCTACTTAACCAAAACCCATTATGATAAAACAAAAACTACAATGAATGCAGGTCTTCTGTACAAAAAGCAAACCAAATTGTAACGCATGCCCAATGAGAGGAGAATGTAGACATTTTGCAAGTGCATTTGCAAGGTATGTATATGTGTTGCAAACTTTAGTACTCTAGAAGGCACTGCAAATATTATAGTTGGCAATATAGGTAAGGAACTTGACAGACAGCCTGCTAGGAGGTTCATATAAAAATTGTAATACTCACTACCTCCTTATAATGACAGTAACATTGCATTCTGTCCTTTTCACAATGGTTTGATTAAGAAATGTTTACTTAAGTATTAGTTGGAAATAATCTCAATGCCACACGGAATCCAATAAATGCATGCATTGCTAGTTATGATAGTCAATTACAATAACAATATCATTTGCAGTGCAAGGCTTGCACTGCCTGGACCAGAGCAGAATAGTATAGTTAGCACAGCTGGAAATAGTGTGATTGACCAGAAGCCATCTAAAATCATCAGTCAGTTGCACTTGCCTCCCCCTGAGAACACAACCCAAGCAGAAGAAATTCAACTAACAGAAGTGAGCAGACAACTGGAATCAAAATATGAAATGAATATTTGCCAGCCTATAATTGAAGAGCCAACAACTCCAGAACCAGAATGCTCGCAAGTATCACAAACTGATATAGAGGATGCTTTTTATGAGGATTCATGTGAAATTCCTACCATTAAGCTTGACATAGAAGAGTTCACCCTGAATTTACAAAATTACATGCAAGAAAAGATGGAACTTCAAGAAGGTGAAATGTCAAAGGCATTGGTTGCTTTGAATCCAGAAGCTGCTTCAATACCTATGCCTAAGTTAAAGAATGTGAGCCGATTACGAACAGAGCACTGTGTGTAAGTAAAATAGCAAACTCGTCTCCAATTGCATAATATTGAACACAAACAAAATCGCATAATAATTAGCTAAAGAGCAAGACCAGCAATCAGTAATTACATGTCCAGAATTATAATCCAGCAATATATGAAGATGAGTGTAATTAGAATCTTGCTGTAAAACATCCAGAGTTTAGCATGCATCACAACCACCCTGCTATAGTAGTCAATTTCTAATTATGAATGCTGATTGTGTTTACTTTACAGTTATGAACTTCCAGATACTCATCCTCTTCTGCAAGGGGTTAGTTATTGCAGCATATGTTATTCTAAACTGTGGTTTATCCTGTATGCCCTTCTTTTATTAACTACTTGTGCATTACAGTGGGACAGACGAGAGCCTGACGATCCAGGCAAATACCTTCTTGCTATATGGACTCCAGGTAGACAGATTTCATTACCTTGCCTCCTTCCAGATGTATTTAAATGTGCTCCAAGCGCCAGCACAAAAGTTGCATTGCAAATTTTAGAATACATGTTTTCTTTCAGATTTCTGGTGTTTCCTAACTCATTTTCCCAAATAAATTATTACATTAGGTGAGACAGCAAATTCTATACAACCGCCTGAAAGCAAATGCAGTGCCCGAGAAGAATACGGCCAACTCTGTGATGAAAAGGAATGTTTTTCATGCAACAGTTTCCGGGAAGCAAATTCACAGATAGTTAGGGGGACACTCCTGGTACGAGTGCTTCTCAAAATCATTATTTTAACCATATGTAGCATGCTAATTTTTATATATTATGCGGGCAGGGGAGGGAACACAACTGCATAGAATTCAAGCATTATAATAAACTGACTTGGGTTAATGATAAATATGAACAGATACCATGCCGAACAGCTATGCGGGGAAGCTTTCCACTGAATGGCACCTATTTCCAAGTCAATGAGGTAAACTAATCTGCAATTCTTAGATTGTTAAATCTCTTTTCCTTTTGTACTTGTTTATTGAAATTTAAGCAGCACCAACTCGTATCATTGAACCAGGTATTTGCTGACCACGAGTCAAGTCTAAACCCAATTAGTGTACCCCGAAGTTGGATCTGGAACCTCATTAGGCGAACAGTATACTTTGGAACCTCCGTACCAACAATATTTAAAGGTAAATACTCAAAAATTCATAGTAATATAATACCATTTAAATGACTATACATCAAACAACATATTTGAATATATGATTTTTGTCAATCAGGTCTAACAACTCAAGAAATTCAACAGTGCTTTTGGAGAGGTAAGATTTAATTCACAGAATGTAATCCTACTTTCTTTTCAATATCTTAAGTTAGCCAGTTTTTATTGGTGTGATTAAAACATCACTAATTTTCATATTTTAGACATGCTACAGGATAAAAGGACTAAACAAACCCACTTCTACCACTCATTTATTAAAAACACTATGGATGCCATACATGATCTACAGCTTTTAGGTTAATTTTGCAAGCATTCAAGCATTATATATACACATACTTCAATAATTTAAAAATGCTAATAAAGACATGTTTGAATCAACTATCAACTTCCCCATAAGGACTTCTAAAAGAGAAAATTTAAAATTAGTTTACCTAGGGCTGCACGTATGAAAGAAGAAGATAGAAAATAGTGTGAATGGCCTAATACACAGATGAAGACAAGTAGTTTGAGATGGTTGAGAGAACCTTTTTAATTAATTGTATAGTAGTGTGGGAAATGCACTATGAAAGAATAAGAGAGAAATTAGTGTGAATGGCCTAATTGAGAAATTAAAGAGAATGAGAGCATCACTACTCGAATTGTGTATAATATATGGTATGGGAGTATATTATTAATTTGAAAAGGAAAGGAAAAGGAATTATTATGAACATCCTACCCTAATTGGGGGAACCATGTCATAGTTGAAAGCATGTATCTAGTTAACACGACCTGTCTAAAAATGTTTTGTAGGTTATGTCTGCGTGCGGGGGTTTGACAGAGAAACACGAGCACCCCGTCCTCTGATGGCTAGACTACATTTTCCAGCTAGCAAGTTGGCCAAGACCAAAGAGAAGACAGAAAAGAAGTCAAGTTCCGCAAAATCACGAGGATTGAAACCAAATACAAAACAGCCGGAATTGATTTCAAAAAGTAGCAATCTTAAAGAGGCGTAAAGAGACTGAAGACAAATCAGCACTACTCATCCCATACTGTGTTGCCCAGTAGCATGTATAAAATGACGAAGTCATTATTTAATCTAACTTGGTTCTTTTATCATGCTCAGTGAGCAGTTTTTCCAGTTTAGGACCCCAATAATGTACTACTGGTAGCACTTAGGTTCTAGTTTCCTGTTTAAAAAAACAAGAACGTTAAGGGGATTGTGAGCCATGTAATGATATATGAGGAACTGGGGCTAACTTGCGTAACAGCAGTACTTTTTACCCCAATTCCTCCTGAGATACACACTCAGGAATATTTTAGATTTGAATGTTATGCCCCTTACTTCACCAGCGTCGCATGCACATTTAAACTTTATTTTACTTGAGTTCCATTATCAGGATAAAACTACAACTACAAGGTCTTATTTCACCAAGTGAAGGTGGTCAAATATATGATTTATCCGAGATACAATAAAATTCGTAATAACCATGAGATTGAAAATTTTGAAGACAGCATAGCAAAGAGTAAAATTAAATGCTGTCCTCTCTGGATTAACTTGCTAATCCAAAATTTTGACTCCTATAAGGAAAGAAAACAGATCCTAACTCACTAGTTGTCGTGCAGAACTCAGAAAACAGTCATCAAAAAATTGTAAAATAAAAAAAATAAAATAAAAAAAAAAACAATTTCCATGGCCTAAAATATCTCACCAAAACCTAAACAGATAAACAGTAATATTCAATTACTTCCTCTACAAACATGCACACAGTAACATACATAATTAAACAATAATCGACACGCACATTGACTAGCAAACTAGTTCCGCCTCAAACTGTAATGAGGAACAGTGAATTGACAGTAAAGTTTTTAAGAAAGGAGCAGTGAATTAACATGAGCAAAGGCTTCCGACAAGGAAGCGATTGTGTTGACCAAGAAAGCGTACTTTGAGAACTGTATGACGCGAATCGAGAACTACATTGATTCAAAGAAAACGAACGTCAATGGGGGCGAGATAGAGAAGATAAAATGAAAGAGAAGGTGCGGCGTGACTGAGTTGAGCGCAAATGAAACCTTTTTGCCGCCTTTGCGCCAATTTCATAACTTTTACTTCCCTCCACGTAGTTTACTTTTCCCCGTTGATGGGTTGGACTGGTTTCTATTTTTGGGATAAAGCCCAAGCCCAAAACTTTTTCATTGGTTGGGAAAATGAAAATTTTAAAAGGCCCCTTTTTCTTGCATACGGTAACATATGTAAAATGATAAAAATGTCTCCGTGTTCTTTTTATTTTTAAAACCCTAATTTGAAACACACCTCCCTCCTCTATGCGTTGCATCTCCATAGCTGCACCTCCATTTTCTATACCTCAAGAATTTCATTTTTACTCTCAAGTTAGAAATTTGTTACTAATTTATGCTTTTCATCGTATTACTGGCTATGCATCTAAAAATCTAGTGAAAAAAATATATTTGATGTATACGTAGTATTTCGAATTGTTGAATCTTGAGTATATTTTTTGAAAACACATAAAACCTTCTAGATTCAACGATATGAAACAGTTTTGGATTTTGTTTTTGGAAAATGTATTACAAATTCAATAATATAAAACACATTTCCAAAATATGTTTTTGGAATTGTTTTCGGATCCAACAACCTAAAACATATTTTCGAAAAATACAATCTAAAAATTTATTTTAGATTCAACAATATATACAAAATTTTAAGATTTTGTTTTTTAAAAATGTAAATTGGTGTTTTTTAATATTTTCGAATTGGATAATCTATAACTTATAATTTCGTTTTGAATTACTTAATCTTGAATTATTCCAAAAATATTGATTCAAAAATAAGTTTCAAAAAGTTTATTATGGGTGTTTAGGAATATAACTGTGATGGACAATGTATTTATGATGATTTGGATTTGATGAAGTCAAACTATAAAAATCTTTATTATTTTTGTGTGTATTTAAATTTCACACCAAGCATAAGTTCATTCGTAATTAATCATTTATTAAGTTAGATTGAATATCTCACAGAAAAAAATATATTAGTTTTTAAATAGCTTATTGATAGGTTAAGATATGTTTTTATTCATTAAAATATTCTAGATTCATTTTTTAACTTATAAAAATTTGAAATAATCGATTAAATTTATTAAAACTAAAAAGTTTTAATTGATTAAACTACTGTGTTTCATCTATTGAAATGATTTTAGTCAAATTTAATGAAAATGAGTATCGAAAAATTAATATGGTAAACCATCATTTATCAATTAAAATGTTCTTAGGTTATTTAGTGAGTTTTTTTGCATTTTGTTAAGTTATTTTAATCAATTGATATACCATTTTCTAGTTAAAAAAAATCCTAAAACTTAATGTTTTTGAAAAATGATATTTAAATTGATAAACTAGGTTTTCATCAAGAATTAGTGAGAATTTTTAATATTTTGTTTTAATTGATTAAAATTAGTTTCTTGAGTTAAAATAACTTAATGGAACTAATATAGTTTTAACTCCTTTATTTTAATCGATTAATTCATCTTATTAACAATTAAAACAACTTAAGTCATTTAGACACAATTTTGATAGAATCATTTAAAAATCGTGAAATAATTAATTAAAAAGAGTTTAAATGAAATCAATTAATTAAATCTAAGAATTAATCGAGTAGAACAGACATAACATTTTATTTAATAGTTTTCTCTCTTTCATTTCAAACATAACAAAATTATCAATCATTTAAGCAATATTTAAGAGAGGTTTTAAAAGATAAATTGTGCAAAAGTTTCACAAACATTTTTTTCAGAAAATTCTTGAAGCATTCAACTCTCTCTTGGTGTGATTTCTTTGTCATTGAACATCTGCACTTAAGGTATATCAAGTTTTTTTTATCTTTCTAGGTGACATTATTTTATTTTCCTTGTTTTATTTATTTTTGTTCTTAAAGATTCCTTGTTGAAGGTATTAGTATTTGATGATTGATTTGTGGTCACTGGTATATTCAATAAGAGGTGTTCTTGAAAGTTAAAAAACCTTTTACAATAGATAAGTTGTTTCTACTTATGTTTGTAATTTGTATTCTGGTTATAGTGGTCATCTTAGCTGGATTTGGTTAAGGATTAGATGTAGCTTAAGAAATTAGGTTAATCAATATAAATTTATGTGTCTTAATTATCTTTTGAATCAAATTAGTAATTATGTTTTGGTCTAATAAATCCCTTAACCCAACAATGAATGATAAGAACAATTGAAAAAAAAAAGGACGAGAAAGGTTTAAGATTAAAAAAAAAGAAATAATGAGGGTTAGAGGAAGAAGATAGATAAAGGATAAAATGGGATATATAGTTAATTATGGTATGTAGGAAAAAAAATTATTAGGATGTTGACGAAATTGAGTTATTTAAAATGGTTGATTAAAACAAGTCACATGAAGGTATTTTTGTTAAGCTAATTGTTTTGAAAATCAAACCGAACCGGTCTGTTCAATCTATTACATCGAACCGGCTGATTCAACAATTTGAACCATATTATAAATCAGTTTATTGCTTCAAAATAACCAAATTTTAATTAAACTTGGACAAAATTAGTAAAATTGAAAAAACAGACTAGATTTTTAATTGAACCGGTTTTGGTAAAATATATAATATATTTTAATTTTTTTATATCATACTAATTATATCAACTTTAAATAATAATTATTTTATTGTATTTTTATCTTATTTTAGTAGTTATCCATCTTTCCCTCTCTAATATATTTTATATTTATATTTTTCATTGTAATTTACTATAATCATACTATTAATATTTATTATTTTTATTTTTTTATAAAAAATATTATTATTAATAAACTTATTATATATTTATTATATTATAAAAATATTATTTTATTAAATCCAATTGAATCTCAGTTAAACTTTTAAATATGAATTATTAGTCATAAATAGATAAACAAATATGCCTTGTTATAAAATAAAAAAAATACTAAATTTGTTAGTATTTTTGGATCTTTCTAACTAATAAATTTATCATTTGAAGTTAGCTATTGTAAGCGTATGTTTTCATTAAAAATGGATTTAAGTGAAAAAAAAAGGAGAGTATTGTTTAGAATAGGGGAAAGAGAATATAAAATGAAAAGAAATTAATAAAAAAATTATAAAAGATATGATTAATTTGATTAATTAAATTTTTATTTTATTAAATTTAAATAAATTTATTTATTATTTTAATATTTTTATTTTAATATTTATTATTTATTATTATGATAATTAAATATAAAAATAATATTTTAAAAAATGAGATATAATTTAGATAAAAAATATATCTCTTTTTTTCACTTTTTTCGGTAAATTAACCCTTTCTACTTTCCATTATTAAATCCAAATGCAAGTGATTTCTAAGTAAAAAAAAGTGCATAGAATATAAACAAATTGTAATGTTATAAGGGTAAATATTTGTGATTTTATGAGGTTAAATTTATTTTGTTATTTTTAACTTTTTTTAATTTATTGTATTATTAATATTATCTTGGTTTCACTTCTTTTTAACTGAGAAAATGTTATTCATTTTATGAATGTTATTAAGTTATATATAAAAATACAACATGTGCGAATGTGGAATAAGACATATTTATATCAACCTACCCTATTATATGTGGCATACACTTCACTACCACATTTGAGTCACTAACACACACACACACACACATATATATATATATATAACTCATTTTACATAAATTAAAAATAAATTATTTTTTTATTTTTTTATTTAAAAAAAGAATTCATAAAAATATATTTATACTTATTTGAATACGATAATCAAATCAATATAGTAATAGATCGGTCTAAGAATTATTTATATAATAAATTATGAATAATCATCTGAATATTATTATATAAAAGATTTTGTAGTTTTTCATTTTCACGTATGTATACATTTAGTGAGTTAAATACCAGACAAATTTTGGTGATTGTTCCCTTCTTCTTCGACAAACGTCACAACAACTTGAAAGACATAT